GTTACATTTAATTATTCATGTAATGATTTTTTTGTTACTGTTGTTACAATATATTATGTGTGTTTATTAAATCCACTGAAAACGGCGATCTTAATTAACTTTGTTATATACGAGGCCTCATTATGTTTGCGAACAGTTTATGCGGTTAAACTCGCCTACATATTGCATAACCCGCTCTAGATTAATGCAATAATTTATATTCATCGGTCAATATCGTCCGTACTTAGATATGGTTTCTCGGTATATTGTTATACTATTATGAGAAATGGAACCATGTATTACGTGCAAAATCTTACAAATTTGTCTTTTATCCAAATAGTAAACTTTAATAATACAGTAAACATTCTAATTATTAATTACTTAAGTATTTAAATTATATACTCATTTAGTAAATGTTCAATCAATGCGATATAAACTTTGCGCTTTTGATAAGAAAGCAATAAAAATTAGCCGATTGTTAAAAATTGCCTTATTTGGGAACGAAAACGTTAATCATCTACGTCACGATGAATCACCTGCAGCTGCGTACATTTAAACAATCCTTATTTGGGCATGAAGAGAATGCGTTTCGCACACTCGATAAGAGAGTAATAAAAGATAAGCAATTGTTTTCAACAAAACACGAATTGTCACGAATCTCAAACGTTAGAATAAATAATATTTATATGCGCACGAAAATTATCGCGTTTTTAAAACAAAAGTGATTTGTAAATCATACTTAAGCGAAATGCTCGTTATGCGAGGTGCTCGTTAAGCGAAGTTCCACTGTACTTATTAAACGATATTTGCAAGTAATTTATATAAGTATTTGTACGAGAAGCCTAAAAAAATGTTCTTATATATTGTAATTAGTTATATGAATAATACTCGTAACTTTCCAAGTAATTTGCAAATATCTGACGTAAAATAGTAATTATTTTATTATTGGTAGGGTCGGCCCACAGATAAAATCATCAAAATGGCTCTTCAGAACAAAAAAGTTTAGTGCGAAAAAAAATTAGAAAATTATTGCGTTTCATTTCAAATCTTGTGAGAAGAAACTACATTATATAGAAGATATCTTTATTAAAATAAAACATTAAACATATTAAAATCTCTTGATTTAGCATTATAAATTGTTCAGCTTCAATAAGCGATATTTTCCATGAAACTTATACCAGTTTACACAATCATAAATGCAAGGAAATTGTTTAAAAAATCGCCTAATTTGGGCACGAAACGTCACTTATCTATGCTAAATCACCTTTGAACAATCCTTATTTGGGCATGAGAAGAGTGCGTTTCACACTCGTCATAATTAGGCGATTGTTTTAAAAAATCGCCTTATTTGGGTACAAAAATTTCGTTTATTTGCGTAACGGCAAATCACCTGCAGCTGCACGCGTTTAAACAATCCGTTTTTTTGGGCTCGAAAAGTTCTTAACTATGAACTAGTTCACTGCACATTCAATTATTTACCTGTGAATACACATAGTCTGGATAATCAATTTCACCAATATTCCGGACTGTTTGAAACCGGACTAATCGATAATTTTAAAACCGCACAAAAAAAATGAGACTAGAACCGATAATTTATGAATTAAACATAATTTTGTGTACTACTTTTGTAGAATTTATTTTACTAAATTAAAATTTTGTTTGTTTCGAAATATTCAAATCGGAATATAGTGAATTCGGACTGATCGAAACCGCACTAAGCTATTAAGCTTTTTAAGTTCGTTATATCTTTAAAAAATACAACTCTAAACTTGAACACTATTTTAATAAAACAGTTTTCATGCAAAATTATGTCGTTTTGGCTGAGAAAAAAAATGTTCGATTTTTCTTTTATTTTTGTAAAATTGCTTTGACAATCGCCTTATTTGGGCACAAAACTTCGCTATTTGCGTAACGGTAAATCACCTGCAGCTGCACGCGTTTAAACAATCCGTTTTGTTGGGCACGAAAAGTTCTTAACTATGAACTAGTTCACTGTAAAAATACCTCACATAGTCCGGGTAATCAATTTCACCTATATCCCGCACAAAAAAAGAGACTTCAGCCGATACTTTATGAACTAAACATAATTTTGTGTACTACTTTTGTAGAATTTATTTTACTAAATTAAAATTTTGTTTGTTTCGAAATATTCAAATCGGAATATAGTGAATTCGGACTGATCGAAACCGCACTAAGCTGTTAAGCTTTTAAATTTCGTTATATCTTTAAAAAAATACAATTCTAAACTTGAACACTATTTTAATAAAACAGTTTTCATGCAAAATTATGCCGTTTTGGCTGAGAAAAAAAAATGTTCGATTTTTCTTTTATTTTTGTAAAATTGCTTTAAATTCTTTTCTCGTATAAAAAAATGAGACCATCTCAGAACAAGAACGATGAATATAAACTATACATTAAATCAAGTTCGTTTTAAATGGAAATACGATTCTTAAATCTTGAATATATTCGATGCAACAATAAAGAAAAAGAAAACTCATACACAATTTACATGGTAAAACTTGTTGGTTTATGGTATTATGAAAATAAAAGTAAAGTAAATTATCGAGAAATTATTATTATTTTCTTTTAAAAAGGATTTTAAAACCAATAAATATTCGTGGCTTATACACATTTACGGTGAGACTGACATTACGAAATCGCTCGAGTTGCAGCCATACGCACGACTTGGAACATCTCTCAGTGATTTCACTGATTTTGTTAAGTTAAAAATGTATTAAGTATGCGTTGAATAATTGAAAAGTCAACACGTCGCTTCGCAATCAGCGAAATCGATTTGAAAAATGAATGATGAAAGCATATATAACAAAAAAAAAATAATGCAGGTCTCTCTCGATATGAAATATGGATTCCCAATTTCCGAGGATTGATGCATGTCGTTTAGTTTTTATGCGGCTCTGCGTCATACCCGAAGTGCACTGAACAGAAAAACAAATATGATTTTAATTTAATATTAATCGAAACGTTATGATTTTGAATTATTTAACCGCATAAAATGTTAATTATTTATATATCAAAAAATCATATTTTATATTAAAATAACATAATTATTATATGAATTTATTTTAATTAATTAATTTTTTATATTTAAACACGAAATTGTTATAAAAATAGTTTTAGCTTTTATATTTCTGTGACCTATATTTAGTATCAAGAAATCGACGTGATATTGGATATTTAACCTCCAATAAGTTAAGGATAAGGGTATCGTCTTGAGGGGTGAAACGCGTGTATGAAGAATTTATTGATGATGGTCGTTCTCTTCCTCCGAGGGTCAAATTTCTTATTAAAAAAAAGGAGAGCACTTTCACGCTAAAACATGCTTAGGACGAGATGCGAAATTGAATGGTCCTTCTGGACCGACCTTTATAACTGTATTACATTCTTCTTATATCAAGTCGAAAAATTCTTTATAAGAAATTAACAAAAATATATCTATATATAAAAAAAATAATCCAATTAAGTTGATTTGAAAAAAAAAATGGAATTTAATGAAATTTTGGAAAAATAAAATATAATAAATTTAGGAATTGAAAATATATATATATAACAATACCTTGTATATTGCTGTGGACAAATCGAAGACTTTAAAAATAATTTGCACAGAAATTGACTTGGAAAAACGAACATTTATGAATTAAAACAAATGTGTACTAATTTTTCAAAACTTATTTAGATTTTTGAAATTTGATAATCGTACTATAATGAATCCGCACTGATTGAAGCCGCACTCTACGAGGTATTGCTATAATATAAATATTCAAATTGGAGGAATAATTAATTTGTTGATTATAGATATTTTTGTTTATTGTTATTAATTGGTTAAAAAAAATCATATTTAAAAATATTTTTAGTAATATATGATTAATACAAATTATTGTATTAGTTGTATCCATTTTGATAATAGCCTGAAATCAAGTGAAAAAAAAGCAATAATCTAAAGAAAATATTATTTTCTGTATAGATAATAAAAATGAATAGTTTTTAGAGAAGATATGAAATGAGTAAATAAATACAAACAGATTATTTTCTTTCCTTGGAAATGGAAACGATATAAACAGAGAAAGTAAATAACAACTGAAAATTGTTCATCAGATTATTTAGTTGCGGTTTCTTCGTATTTTTCTTTTCTGTAAGTTAATGTTATTTATAGTAATTATTATCTAAATTATATGATTGTGCGTAAATCCCCGTTTGAGAAAGACCTATGGTCAATAGCGCTTTGCATCAGTTAACTTTTTGTTGTTTTTTTGTTCAAAATTGAGTTAATCACATGATTAAAGAAAAAAATCATAATATGTATGTTTATAGTGTTGATATTCCATGTAATTACTATGTAATTACTGAGATATTAAATACGAAGAGTTTTATTTGATACTTTATCTAGTTGTCGGGATTTCAATATAGACCCGTCAGACGACAAAGGGTTAAGAAATAGAACTTGAAAAACCTATAGTAAATATAGCAAGAATCAATAAATATAAGTATTTCAAGTTGAGAGTTATAATTATTTATGCAAGGTAATTGGAATAATTCGAGCGTAGTTGAATAATCGACGGAAATAAGAAAAAATGGACAAGATTCGATAAGTTATAGATATTGCAAGAAATGAAGCGAATAACGTACCTAATGAATGTTCGTTTCCAGGAGGAATAAATAGCGTTGGACTGTTGCCCGTAAAGTATTGTAAAAACCAACCATAACTTTCGAGAGCGAGAGCCTCCTTATCTTGACCTTTTACCTACCAACTTTATTGCTCCGCTCCACGTCCCATCCTCTTCTCTTATTCTTCCTCATCCTCTTCTGCCGCCGCCTCCTCTCTTCACTTCTCTTCTTCGAGACTTCGTAGTTAATATTTGAATGTTGCATCAATGTTTGTCTTTTCTTTCTTTCGCCCTATCGAAACTTACGGATTCAGCATGCGAATCGAATCCATCCATAAACGAAGAACCTCTTCTGTCTGTGTATATAACGCTAATCATGTGTATGTGTTCTTCTTGTAGAAGTTAGGCAGGAGGCGGTGCAGCAGGCCCTCGCACAGGCCATGCAGAACAGGCAAAAACCCTCCTTACCGATGCCATCGAAAAGGACGTCCGTTATGGCCAGGAGTCCAGATAGAGATCGTCACGACTCGGGTAAGGGGAAAATATTTATCTGTTTATTTGAATTCTGTGCGGGTGTACGTGATGCAAATTATTTGTCCTCACTGACAAAAAAAAAATAAGACGGAAATAAACCACAAACCAACCAACAAAAGTATTTTAATATCAACACAGCCATTCTTTAAAAAGAAATATGTGTTACCGTTAAAGTTTATAGTAATTACTAGGTATTTAATGATTAGATTTAATACGTTTTATTTGATACTTTATCTAGTTATTCCATACATTAAAATTAATATACACAATTATGTAATAAAGTATGGAATATATAGAATATAAATATAAAGAAATTTTAAAAAATATACAAAATGTATTATACAATACTTTAAATAATTACATACAAATCTGTATGCAAATGTGAAGTGGAGTGATTTAATGAAATTTCACTGATACGAGTGTGACTGCTTTAAATAATTAATGGCATTAGGTCATCGATGCAAATAAACGCAAGAGTTGACACCTGAACAGTTTATATATGTTTGAGGTCAGAATATTCATTTATGTATTTCTCACTTTATATATCACATTACATTATAAGAAATAATTTATAGATCACATTATAAGAAATAATTAGTTAAAGTATAGAATTCAGAGCTATTTTATACTTTAACTAATTGCATTAAACATTATAAGAAATATCTAATTTATATTCATATAAATTTATTACTGTGATTTACATTATTTTAGATAAAGTATAGAACGCGTTTCTTATGGATCGCGAAATGACAGCTGTTACCTTATGTCAAAAAAAATGTTATAATCAATTTGGTCACTAAAAATGACCTAATTGTCAAATCGTCAAAATAATTATGTTATAAATAATTTGGACACAATACAAGTACAAAGATGACAGCTGTCACGTTGTGTCAAAGCGTCAAAAAATGTATGTTATAAACACAGTTCGACTACAAAAATGACAGCTGTCACATTGTGTCAAAGGTCATTAAATGTTGAAAATAAACCAATTCTCATTTCTTAAATTGTATCGACCTCTAATAATGTTATATCAACTTCCGGTGGTGACCACTAGACTATTTAGATCATAAAATAACTTTTGCGATAAAATCTCTACTCCTCATACATAAACGTGTCAATTTTTGTAAACAGAAAGAATTTAAATCTGAGTGTTTTTAAATTAATTTACAATTGTATGTGTGTGACAGATTTATTAGCGTTCGGTCATCGATGCAAATTGTTGGAAACGTTTTGGGAAGTCTACGGTTTTTTGGATGCTCGAAGTGAGGAACTGATGGCTGCAGAGTGAGAGAGGGGATGCATAAGAGAAAAAGGCTTCTTTCGCATTTATTTTTACGGCATGTTTGGGTTTTTGTGCACGGTCGTTTAATAATATTTGAATAGGGATCCCCCAACTTGGAGGTATGGTATTCAGATAAGATTCATTGCCATTGCCTCCTCCTCAGTCGAGTGAAAAGTGCGACACTGTAGACTGCGGTTGTTGTCGGTGCTCTCCATAGTTTAGTTTCTCTGTGACTCATACATATCGTTCAACTTCTTTTGGATTTATTTATATTTATGATGCGCTCACCTCGTTACTCATTTATAAAACAATATTAACAATATTCATTCCTGTTAGTGAAACAAACATTTATTGCAAACGTAAGTGCAATTTATTATTTGTATATATATTTTTTTTTTTGGAAAAACATTCAGTTGTTAACATCTGTGCATAGTGGATACAATCAATTCTGGATATTCGAATTTAATCACTTTTGATTCATTGTGACTGCTGCTGTGTACACAATTTATCACGTACATTATAACTCAAATAGTGCAGATTAATGCAATAAGGAATATCCGAAATATGGATCGTGCCCTACATTTTCATCCATGCGTAATATTTTAATTTATAGCACGTAACTTTTTTAATAGATCAAACTTACTTACTGACCTATCCAAATCTAATAGTATTTACTACGTATTTTTTAAAAAATAATCAACAATCAAAAGTATTAAGTACATATTCTGAATAAATCAGTTATTTTGTAACAGTTTCATAACAATTTGAAGATATTACTGCTTTTTTTCTTATAAATAATCAACAACTAATAACTTTTTAAGTATTATGTATAAATTAAAGATAATCGTTAGATTTAATCATGTTTACTCACTTAAATATATTTTATAACACTTAAAATCAATGAAAACTTAATGACATAACAAAGTGAAAATATTTATTTAGAAAATGCGGCTATTTTGTATTTCATAATATTTGTCAACACTAGAGAACGATCAGATAAGTGAATTATCATAGAAATTTTTATCAGGACAATCTCACAGCACAAGACAATCATATTGTTTTAACTCACTTTCTCTTTAAGTCGAGAGTATTTACGTTTTATGCAATAATTCGATAATAATTAATTAACAAAAAGTGGTTTAATTAAATAATTACAGCACATGTAATAATTTTGTAATACTTAAAATTATGTACATTTTTACTTCTTTAAATACTTTATTTAAATCTATAATTTCGTGAATATTTCAGTTTTATATAATTTCGATTACACGTTGAAACTTGTTTCAACGTGTTTCGATTCTTTGATTTGTTATGCAAGTATTTACATGACAATTGAACGTTTTGAAACAATTGAATCATCTAAACAAATGACAAACTAAATGTATCTTAAATATTTATGTTAAATTGTTTAAAAAAAATCATCTTTCGCTTACTTATAGTATTTCAATTTTCTAACTTTTGTTTCTTGCAATTTCCTAATCACACTTTTAACAATACAAATCTTATTTTTTTGTTGTAAAAACTTTCGGAGGGAAGAATGGAAATTCGCTTCGGTTTACGTGTAACACAACATTTTGACCATTCTCTCGTTGACAGTCAGTTTTATGGCCCCCACTTAAAGGTCCTGTGTAAATTCCATCAGGACAACAACGAAAAAAAAATATGCGATACAAATGTTCGGGCAAGAAGAAAGTGATTAGACGTTCCCGGAAAATGGAACTCCGAAATATGTTTTTTTCTCTTTCAACTTCTTTCTTTTGTGCTATAAAACTTTACAGATTTTACGAATCGTTCACATTTTGTGTACAGTAAATATTAAACAAAAATATGCAACTCATGTGTGATTCATACTTAGTGGAAGTCGCGGACAGAAGAAAAAAGCAATGATTTACTGCATAACCGAGTCGTAAACCCAAGGGTGAACGACCATAGTTTTTTCTAGTTAAAAAAATGTACTGTAGTAAATGTTTCATATAACTTAAACTGTTTAAAACATTTTTATTTATTTAATTTAGTACAGAAATGCTTCGCTCAGTGCGGCCTCAATTTCATTTAACATAAATAAATTATCGTTTTGTTTTTCTTTATTTAGGCAAAATTATTTGTGTTTTAAACACTTTAATATATTGGCAGATCCAATTACATTATTTAAATTCATTTTACTTCATTTTAAGGTATACAAAGATTTCATTGAGCGTCTTTTAATTAATTTTTTTTTTTATAAAAGTCTTCTTAAAAGGAAATTGCCTTTTCGTTACATTCAAATTGCATTGACGATATCATCGAAAGTCGAAGGAACGTACGACAACTTTCAGCATTATCACATTTCAAAGAGATTCTTTTGTATGCGAATCCTACTTGGTGCTTTTCAACAACATCGGTTACTTCAATTACAGAGACTTTCCGTTCCAAATTTTTCAGTTACACAACTCAAATTATTGCTTCAAAATAAAACGAAATTGAAAAAAATCATGTTTATTTATACAACAGAATTATTCGTTAAACACATGTTAATAATTACAGCTAATGTAAATAATACAGTTTAATATAATTTTAATTAATTCCTAGATTTTCAAGCTTTCATTATAAATTACTATTGTTTTCTTAATGAATGCTTCAAGTTTAAATAAAAAAAAATATGTATGAATGCTGCAGCAGTTCAGCAAATATATTATTATATCTGGTTCCCACTTCACGCGGAGGGCTGTCGACCTTTAAGGTCCTCCTGGCCCGGTTTCCATTCTTAGCTTCATCCGTGGAAAGAAAGCAGGAAAAATAAATAAATATATATATAAAAAACAACAAGTACAAAAAAAACCGTCTTTGTGATCTTTGTGCTCCGCTCTTCTCCGTTGTTTTCTCAAGTCCCGTTCCCTTACAAAGGATTCCGCAGTCCGGCATCATCTTTGTTCTTAAATTTGCTTTTAGCCCTGCAATCTGTCCTGCATTAGTTTCGCCAAATTACCTGCAAAATTTGCTTTCAGACCTTCACCATCAATTCATTTTACAAATATCTGTTTGAAACATTCACTGCATATTTGTGTACGCACAAAGACTTTCAAAAAGAAGAAAAAATATAAAATCAAAAATTTTATACACAAGTGCACATATTAATATATTTCTTCAAAGTGAAAACATGACAGAGTGAGTAACTTATTAAGTTATTTCGAAAACTAATTCCAAACAGAGTCTCTTACAGACCGATGAATGAATAATATCTGAGTGCGATTTAAAACTATGCGGATTTTGCAATTTCCCCATAATCACCGAGAACCGCGAGTTCCACGATGTTTTTTAGTTTCATAACATCTAAAAATAACGAACATGGATTCCTCGAGTAGATATTTGATTTCCTTTGCATAACTTCAATGTTTTTTTTTGTTGTAAATCCATGCGAAATCGACAAAATGACTCAAGCTATTTAATTTCTTATAAAGTAATCAATATTTGTTAGTTTTTTTCTTGTCTCTAAGGAGTTTTCGGAATGTTTCATCAACATTTTTTATTGTAGATTCTTGATATTAGTTGTAGATATAACAAAATTCAAATTTATTAATGCAAAGAACAAATGATTTAATTTTTTCGTACTTCTGAAATTTGCAAATATTGATAGCTCAGAACAAATTCGGGAATTCGCATAATGAGAACTAGCATTGTACTTACCGATACCTCGCACTGTCCGGTTTCAATCAGGTCGGGTTCACTATAATCCGGTTTTAAATTTTCAAAACAAATTAAATTGTAATTGACAAAATACAAATGTATAATTGTAATTGACTACACAGAATTATAGATTAAAGATACTTTTGTTTTTCTTCAGACAGTCTCTTTTTGTGCGTTATATGTATTTAGTTCCTCGATTAGTCCGGTTTCAAACTGTCAGAGATATTGGCGAACTCTGCGTAGAATTTCTGTACTTTTTTTTGATATTACTGATACAAAATGCAAACGAAATTGTTTAACCTGAAAACACTGACTAAACACAAAAAATGTATGTGCATGAAATGAAGTATCTGTAATTAGTTTGCTTTTATAGAAGGGAAAATCTGTTTGCAAACATGTGTTGCAGCAATATTCGTTTATAAACACATTCGAGAGCGATTTCAAACCGTTGGTAGTAAATATCGGTGGTGGAAACGTATAGAAATTGCTGGTAATGGTAGTAGTCAAAGGATGAAAGCGTTTCATGTATTTCGATTATCAATAAACCATAAAATCAACTATACAAATATTTGGCTATCGTTTCTCTCTGTTAGACCCACACAAATTAGATTTGTCCTTTTCTCTCATTCACACAAAGTTTACGTTTGTCCTTCTTTTTCATAATGTCACTGAAATATAAGTCATATGTTATTTCGTCATCTCTTCCTCTGTATTTTCTCGCTAGGACAAAATAGAATTAAGGTGCGCAATTTTTCTCGCGGAGCATTTAAAATTTGAATTTATTTTAATAGGAACGGCTTCATTAAGTCGCCACGAAAAATTACGAACGTTCATATTTGTTTTTTTTAAATTTTATTTTTAATTTAATAACAAAACGCCGAGGCGATGCTTTATGACGGTTGGTCTCGGTTCCGGCGAAAAGAACAACACGTTTTTTTTTTTAATTATTTAAATTAAAATTTGTTATTATGAAAATAATAACCGCAGGCGGTGGAGCTCTATTTATTCTTTACGAAAACCTCAATTGTATTTACTATACAATGAAATTGTGTAATTAATATTTATTTGAATGAACCAAATTATATAAAAAGGTTTTTCTACCAAAAAAGAGAGAAATGAAATAATAAACAGCGCGATTTGATTAACTTTTACGTAAAGTGATTAAAAATAATATTTGTTTTTCGTGTTTGTACGCATTTCGTTGATTTACATTTGATCATATTTTTTCTTTCTATTATTTAATAATTTTGAAACAATTTTATTGAACATTAATGGAAAACTTTAAAAATAAAATCTGAATCTAAAATGAGTTTCGAAATAGTTAAATGGTATAAATTAATCAATTTGTTGTGATTTTAAGATTGTTTAACTGAATTATTAACATTGTTTTTTTTTTGTTGATAAATTGAACTTGATATTTAAACAACAGGTAGAAAGATCTTAACAAAATTATTCCTCTTACAAAACATTTAGAATTTGCTTTATTTTTTTTTACTTTTGAGAATAAAATCTTCTAAAATCAATTAATGAACAGAAGGAACATTCCGAGAATATCTTCATATGTTAATTTGCTATAAAATTCGTAGAATAAAACACCCAAACAGTTAAAAGGTATAAATCGGCTTCTTTGTTCTCTGTTTGGAGCTTTTAATCTATACATCGTTAATTTAATTGCTATTTTGAAGTTATAAAAAAGTCATCAATTCTTGATGGTTTGTTTGTTTTAAAATTAGTGATATTAGTAAAGATGATTAACAAATATAATGTGTAAATTATTGTTTTGATAATTGCAGAATCCTCGTCAGATGAAGATAGCATATTGAATGAAGAGATCAGTACTCCGGAGCGCGAGAAAATAAGGACTCCACAAATGTTGCCGCCACCCCCGATGTCGGACACGAGCAGTACCGGTTCTCCGCCTCCTCCACATCACAGACCGCGCTTACCAGCGCCGACTCCCGTCTGGGAAAACAGATCTTCGCGTAACACGGAAATCACGGATATATCGCACGAGTTGCAGAACTTCAGGCCATGTGCGTATCAAGAAAGATCCATCATTCTTCAACAAGATCGTTCTTATTTCGTGTTCTTTTAACATTCAGATATCCAACCACCGGACGTGACTCACAATACTGCTCAGGGTGGCCGTAGGAATACCGGAGCGGACCGGGTGAACCATTATGCAACATCCACGTCCGGCGATACCATCAGCATGGGCACGGGCCGTTGGAAGGTCTCCGCCAAAATTCAGCAGCTATTGAACACATTGAAGAGACCGAAGCGCAGACCGTTGCCGGAGTTCTACGAGGACGACGACATCGATCTGGAAATTGCAGCTAACCCAAAAGATCCGAATGCACCCAAACCAGAAGGTACGATGAGAAGGTTGACGTGCTGTCCGATGTTCAGATGTAATTATGTTGATTGTTTTTAGGAAGTTGCATGTCACCTGTTGTGGGCGAGCAGTTGTTGGTGCCGTCGGGATTGCCACGCAATCTGGAAGCAGCTATCTCCCGTTATGGCTCCGGCTCATACAAGGCCCAAGTGGCAACCGTTCTGGATCCCAACGGCAAATTAACCACAACCCTGACTTATGGGAAACTCCTCAGCCGTTCGTACAAAATTGCTTACGCTCTGTTGACGAAGGCGTTCAACAGGAATGGCGACACCAGCTTAAAATGCGGCGATCGCGTCGCCCTCGTCTATCCCAACAGCGATCCCATCAATTTCCTGTGCGCCTTCTACGGGTGTCTTCAGGCCGGTATCGTTCCGGTGCCCATCGAGGTACCAATCACCAGACGCGATGCGGGATCCCTGCAGATTGGATTTCTGCTCGGCAGCTGCGGCGTGCAGGTTGCTCTCACTTCCGAGGCCTGCCAGAAGGGACTGCCCAAGACGACGTCCGGTGAGGTGGCCCAGTTCAAGGGTTGGCCAAAGTTGCACTGGTTTGTCACCGAGCATCTGGGGAAGACACCCAAAGACTGGCAACCGGCACCGCGTCTCACCGACGAAACGCCAGCATACATCGAGTACAGCACCGATCGAGATGGCTCGGTAATGGGTGTCCGCATTACCAGAGCTGCTATGCTCTCGCACTGCCGCACCCTGACGATGGCCTGCAGCTATACAGAAGGAGAAAACATGGTGTGCGTGCTGGATTTCAAGAGGGAGGTGGGACTGTGGCATTCCGTTCTGACGAGCGTCCTGAATGGAATGCATGTTATTTACATTCCCTACGCCCTGATGAAAGTCAATCCAGCAAGTTGGATGCAGATGATCACCAAGTACAAGGCAAGCGTGGCCGTCGTCAAATCGCGTGATCTTCATTGGGGCCTACTCGCTACCAAGGACCACAAGGACGTCAATTTATCTTCCTTGCGTATGCTGCTCGTAGCCGACGGTGCGAATCCTTGGTCGTTGAGCTCCTGCGATCAATTCTTGCAAGTTTTCCAGGCTAAAGGATTGCAATCTGATGCCATTTGCCCCTGCGCCAGCTCCAGCGAAGTTTTAACTGTCTCGGTCAGACGACCAGGACGCGCTGGAGTCAATGCAACCGGCAGAGGTGTCCTATCTATGCAAGGTAATAACAATCAACTATATTTATTAGATGTTCAATATTCTATTTCGATCTACTCAATTTGAATATTCAGTCAATATATTCGCAATATCTTAATATAAAATTCAAACAATAATTTCAAAAATATAAAATTATGTCACACTTTTCATAGGCGAAAAGTTTGTTTTATACAAGTCAATCTATATAATGTCTATTTCTCGGACGGTTATGTCCGATATGTTAATATCCTCGAGTACATTTTTTTCCAAAATAAGAAATAAGTTTTCAAACTTCTTAATCAACTTTGACGCATTAATAAATGAACAAGATATTATATAATCTGACTTTAATAGCGAAAATGAGTTATGAAAGTTTTTAACAATGAGCTCTTTTTAATTTAAAACTTCAATATTGATATTTTGTTCAACAACACGTTAACTAATAATAATAAAATAGTTATGCAAGTATACTTTATAATTAAAACTATTGAACAAAATACGAAAAAGTCACAATGAAATAATATTTATTTGGTTTTACTGTTTTATATAAACATCCTTATCTTTGATACCTTCTTCATGTTGTGACTTGCGTTTCTAAGTGAATCTATAGTAGTCCTGGCTTTCTTTCCTTCTCTGGGAATTTAATTATGTTAAATTCCAGTCAAACCCATATCCATCCAATGACATTTTATCGAATTTACAAATTGTATTCACTTTGTTACTATGGAGATGTAACTTTTTAAAACTGAACGCTTGTAGGCAACTATGCGGTTTTTTAAAGTTCAGACATTTATAAATTATTAATTACATTTATGGCTTCATTGGAAAGTTAGCTTCTATATTGCGAGTTTGCAAAATGTAGGAGATACCCTACATGATATCGTTCATTAATTAATACAAAGTTGTTCCCTCCAAACAGTAAAACAATTTGCAAACTGCATCCAGGCAGAGCACCAATTATGATATCTATACATTTAATTATGGAATATTTATATCAACAATTACTTCAATCATTTCACACAAACAAATGTTAAATGAACGATTCTAAGCAAAAATGTATGTTTGAAAATGATCTGCTGATTTGAGATGAGAATACTTGGAAAATCCAGAGTTAACAAATAATGAGTTCGTGGGAGCAAGACTAATCTCATTTGTACGTTTAATAGGTTTAAGCTACGGCGTGGTGCGCGTGGATCAAGAGAACAGTCTCACTTCACTGACGTTACAAGATTGCGGCCAAGTTATGCCCGGTTGCGTAATTGTCGTGGTGAAGATGGAAGGACCCGCTTATTTATGCAAAACCGACGAGGTGGGCGAGATTTGCGTGAATTCCGGATGCACCGGCGCCGAGTATTGGGGCCTACAGGGGCTCACCAATAGCACTTTTAAGGTGCAACCGCTCGGTACGGATGGAAACATCCTCTCCGACGCCGAGTACACCAGGTCCGGATTGCTGGGCTTCCTCGGACCTGGAGGACTGGTCTTCATATGCGGCTCTAGGGATGGTCTGATGACCGTCACAGGAAGAAAGCACAACGCGGATGACATCATCGCCACAGTGCTGGCCGTCGAACCGATGAAGTTCATCTACCGAGGTCGCATTGCCGTCTTCAGCCACCGTGTGTTGAGGGATGAAAGAATATGCGTGATCGCAGAGCAGCGACCTGATTGCAGCGAAGAGGAGGTATTATTCGCAGAGAATTTGGAACAATTTCTTTAGTTAGGACTGTCGATGATAACGTGATTTTATTTTAGTCATTCCAGTGGATGTCACGAGTATTGCAGGCTGTCGATTCCATCCATCAGGTGGGCATTTACTGTTTGGCCCTGGTGCCTCCAAATCATTTACCGAAAACCCCCCTCGGAGGCATCCACCTGTCTGAGACGAAGAGACGATTCTTGGAGGGAACTTTGCATCCAGCCAACGTTTTACTGTGCCCACACACGTGCGTCACAAATCTACCGAAACCCAGAGAGGTCCACTCAGGTAAGGGTGATTCTCGATTACAAAGACCATACTTTTCATGTACTTTAGACTGGTAATTTACTCTATAAAATATAGTTAGTTAGATATTGATATTATATTTGTACATACGTAGTTCTATCTGCTGTACATAAACTCTATCTTGCAAGATAAATATTCTTCTCTAAGAAACGTAAACTTTTTGAAAAGATTTAAATCACGATTATTATTCCTACACGGAATTTGATTAAAAACATATACATAATAATAATAATTTTAATTAACTATAGAATTACACACAGCAGTGATTGTATGATATTTATATTGTATTTAATTTCCGTCTTTAATACGTGTGGCAAATTTTGCACAATTGCAATAGCTAACACTAACATAAGGCAAATCACATCTATCATCAGTTTTATTTAATTCTTATGAATCTTAACAACTCGCACACAATTTGTTTTGGTTGGTTGGGGATTTGGGAATGCGTCATTTCTTTCTTTTCGAAAAATTATAATTAAAATACATTGTCGCTTTCCACCACATCCTTTTTTTAATTATTTTTGTATGTGTTTCTTTTCATTATTAAACAATGGACATCGTATAACTGTTCATTTATTATGGTTTGTTTGTTTAATATAATTATTATTTTCGTTGATGTACCACTTTTCTCATTTCACATTTGTTTTTATTTTCGTTTATTTTCATTTTTTTTTCTGATTTCATACCCTCTACTACTAATTTACTATAAAAGCTTGTGCTTGAGTGATGCTATAGCATGTTGTTCCTCTGCCTTTCAGCAACGGACTGTGTTTCAGACGTTGGTCCTGCGTCTGTCATTGTTGGGAACCTCGTTCAAGGTAATCGTTTGGCTAGTGCACAAGGAAGGGATATGGGACCAGATGACGAGAATGATGCCAAAAAGGTATGTCCTCTCCCCGTGCTTACTTGATTAATATTTATTACATACATTCGCGCCGAAGTTTCATTTTATTGCATAATTTGTATTGTTAATGTCGTTCCTTTTGTAGTTGCATTTCATATCAGAGATTCTTCGTTGGAGAGCGACGAGTACTTCGGACCATGTCCTGTTTACTTTACTCAACAGCAAAGGAGCTATAGCCAAAGCACTTTCCTGCTCGGAACTGCACAAGCGCGCCGAGAAGATTGGTAATCTGTTGACCGAAAAGGGTCGCATCAATACAGGAGATCATGTGGCTTTGATATTCCCCCCTGGTCTTGATTTGATCTGCGCCTTCTACGGTTGTCTCTACGTGGGTGCAGTACCCGTGACGATAAGACCTCCGCATCCACAAAACTTGCAGACCACTCTACCCACAGTTCGGATGATAGTCAATGTGTCTGAATCTGTGATAGTATTATCCACGCAAGCAGTCATCAAGCTGCTGAAGTCTAAGGAAGCGAGCAACGTGGTGGATATAAAGTCTTGGCCATCGATTCTGGATACAGACGATATGCCGAAGAAGAAAAACCCGTTGGCTTACAGAGCCCCAACTGCCGAAATGCTGGCATATTTGGATTTCAGCGTGTCCACCACGGGAATGCTTGCAGGAATTAAAATGTCTCATGCAGCTGTTACGAATCTGTGCAGGAGCATGAAGCTCGCCTGCGAATTATACCCAAGTCGCCACATCGCACTCTGTTTGGATCCCTATTGCGGACTGGGCTTCGCTCTATGGTAAGTGCTTAGATTTGGTCTGAAAATTTGCAGATTTGGTAATTGTTGTGCTTGTTTCAGGTGCTTGAGCAGCATATATTCGGGCCACCACTCGATTCTTATACCTCCTTCCGAAGTTGAGGTGAATCCTTCTCTATGGCTCTGCGCGGTCAGCCAGTATAAGGTGCGAGACACCTTCTGCTCGTACGGCGTTATGGAGCTATGCACCAAGGGTTTAGGATCTTCGGTGAACCACTTGAAATCCCGCAACATTAACTTAGCTTGCGTGAGGACCTGCGTGGTCGTCGCCGAAGAGAGGCCTAGAATAAATCTTACAACTAGCTTTTCGAAGCTCTTCAGCGCGTTGGGATTGAGCCCAAGGGCCGTGTCCACCTCGTTCGGATGCCGAGTGAACGTGGCCATCTGTCTGCAGGGCGCTTCTAGCCCAGAACCATCAAGTGTGTACGTGGATTTGCGAGCACTCAGGAACGACAGAGTGAGTCTGGTAGAGCGCGGAAGCCCGAACAGCTTATGCGTTATGGAGTCGGGTAAGCTGTTGCCCGGCGTTAAAGTGATCATAGCAAATCCGGAGACGAAGGGCCAGTGCGGCGATTCTCATCTTGGTGAGATTTGGGTGCAGAGCGGACACAACGCAAGCGGATATTTCACGATTTACGGCGACGAGAGCGATTACGCCGATCATTTTAATGCGCGTCTAGTCACCGGAAATACCGGGGAGGTTTATGCGAGAACCGGATATTTAGGGTTCTTGAGGCGCACCGAAGGCATCGAGAGTGGAGGCGAAGAGACTACGGTTGGAGGCAGCGATACTGAATCACTGGGTTCTCAGCAGCACATAACTACCGATGCGCCAGAGCTTCATGATGCCGTCTTCGTCGTTGGTGCATTGGACGAAACCATCATGCTTAGAGGAATGCGGTATCATCCTATTGACATTGAAAATAGCGTATTACGTTGCCACAAGAAGATAGCGGAATGGTACGTTATTCAAAATATATTTATTTAATCAACTGCAATACAATTTTATTGGTTATTTTATTAATTAATTACAGCCAAAGGACAAAAGCTTCAAATACACTTTTTAATCCTTATTTATTCAGCTTTGAACATTATGCTCAACATTATTTGATTAAAATATTAATTTTTGTATTTTTCTTTTCTAGCGCTGTTTTCACTTGGACCAATCTTCTAGTAGTGGTAGTAGAATTGGATGGGAACGAGACGGAAGCGTTGGATTTAGTACCTCTAGTAACTAATACCGTGCTGGAAGAGCATCAGCTGATCGTGGGAGTGGTCGTCGTCGTGGACCCAGGAGTTGTGCCAATTAATAGTCGCGGCGAGAAGCAGCGCATGCATCTGCGAGACGGCTTCCTCGCCGACCAATTAGACCCCATCTACGTAGCCTACAATATGTAAAGGCTTATTAACTTCTTAAGTGGATAATAATAATAAATATTGTATTAACAATACTAGCGATAATCGATGGAACAAAGAACGGAGGAATGATGAAGAGAATAAGAAAAAAAAAATAGATGATGATGATGTTACTTTATATTTTATATATATATAGGCTCAAAAAATTAATCGTTCATTATTTAATTGTTATCGGTTATTGACGTATATCTGCCATTTAATTCGTGATTTTATTATTATTATTATTGTAATTTCTAGGGTTCTACTATCCGTATTTATGATTCATTTTTAATGTTTTTTTTTGTATTAGTTCGTACGTTTAGTATTATTGTAAGGCAAAGAAATTTTTGAGGGTGTTCAATATTTGGCTCAAATTTTTAATGTCTCAACTTCTAGCTGATGTGTAAGTGTAAATACTAATCGCTCTAGGTAGTGTATAGTTTTATATATTATTAGGTTGTACAGTCTTCTTGTTCCTTATTTCTTCTAACCACCACCCATTTCATTTCGCCATCACCAACCACCACCATCCTTCCTCTCGTGCAATAATATATACTTTTCTTACTTCATTTTACCTTGAATACTTTACTCTGTTCTTGCTACCACTTCATCTCTTCCTACATTATTTTACCACTATAACTCGACCCTTTCTATTTGCTGTTACTCTTAAATTTCATGTACTCTAGTCTACTGTAACTACGAATTGGCTACCCCCAACCATATATAGTTTTGTTTTTGTTCGTTTGGTTGTTTATTTCGAAATAGAAATATTAATTACTTAATTTACATATTTAGTTTTTGACCGCCTTTTGTCTACTGTTTTATTTTTCTCTTTTTTTTTTCATATTATTGCTATATATATGCATAAATAATATAATTCCCTTAATTTAGAGCAGGTGTTACATTGTATATTTTACATATATTTAATTGCGTACTCGTTCGTAGTACGTTCATAGGCACAGAATAATAATGACAATAGAATTTACTGCATGTAAATAACATTTCGGAACAACTTTTTATTGATTTATCCCCCACACGTCTCTAAAAAGAAAAATTGCAACAAAAAAAAACATAAAAATGCAAATTGTAATCACAAGTTTTACAAAATATTATATATATAGGCCCCATTTGAATAAATTTGCAAACAATAGTGAAAAAGGAAAGTAAATGTACATTTATAAATATTGTGTTTTATTTATTATTACCTACATAATTTATACCAAATCAATTTAAAAAAATACATAAAATTTATTGATTGATCTTCTAACAAGACTATAATAGTTTTGGCTAATTAAGAACGAAAATTCTCTATATATCTCCTTGTAACAAGTTAGAAGTTTTAGAATTTTGTTCGTAAGTCCGTAATACCTTACGACTTTATTATTATATTAAAGATATTTAAAGCACAATATTATTTTCAAAAACAATATTTCTCCATTTCAGAAGAAAACAAATACAAGTTTTTTTAAGCTAGAATCACTAAATACTACAGTTGCTCCTTTCGGAAAGTAGTGGAACTACTTAGAATTCAAATTGTTAAAAATTATTAAAACTTAGTTGCAAATATTATAATAGATTCCAGCCTTTGACTTCAACACATCTTAATATGCATCTTATTACATCTATATTATCTTAGTATTGCATTTAAATCACCATGCAAATTAGTATCATATTTACATGGACTAAACGGATTATTCAGGACAATATAATACATTATTATGAGATGAAGAATTCAATAAAAATATAATGTTTATTAAACCATTTAGTACATAACTATTGTAGTAATACAATCAACTATGATTGTAACAAATAATGAAGTCTGAAAGGATTAAATAATTTATTACTTTTAATTAAATGTACAAAGTACAATTTTTTGTATATGAATAGAAAAAGGAATAGTTCATAGTTCATGTACAAATGACGTAAATTAAGTAATTATACACAATTACAGTTTAAGGTTATGTACCAGAACTTCTATACCATATTAGTAGATTGCAGTTAAAGTCCATTCGAAAACGTTCTTTACAATCAAAAAATGTCTCTTGAAAACTGCATTTTCTGCAAAATTTGCGCCAAGATTGAACCTGCGGATTTACTCTACGAGGACGATGACATGGTGATATTCAAGGACATAAAACCAGCTTCCAAGTACCACTATTTGGCTGTGCCCAAAAACCATATTAAAACTGCCAAGGATTTGAAACCAGAGGACAGCCAACTATGTATATTTTACCTAACCAATGATGGTTTTCATCAATTCTTAATGATCTTATATTTCAGTGCTGAAGCTGATTGAAACTGGGAAAAGGGTTTTAGTTGAGAATGGAGCTGAAGTGGATGATCTTCAGATGGGTTTCCATTGGCCCCCATTCAATTCCATATCACATTTGCATCTGCATTTGATTTCACCAGCATCCCAAATGGGCTTCCTATCTAGACAAATATTCAGACCAAACACTTGGTGGTTTGCTAGTGTAAGTTTAAACAAACTAACAACAAACAAAAACGTTAATAATTACGTAAACTAATATAATTTTCAGGCCGATTACGTTTATAACAATCTGACGAACAAACTCTAAATGCAGGTAATAAAAAAAAGTCAATAAACAATACACTTATAAAATATACTTTATTAAGCATGTTATTTTGTAGTGTTTTCTTTTTCGTTTAGTACATTTTAACAAAACATATATAAGTATTGTTTGATAAATAAAAAATAATATTTATATATAAAATATTGTTGTACAGATAGGAATGATCTTGTTTCTTTTTATTAATACAAATGAAATGCGTACAATGTTAATAGGAATGGTTAATCAAAGAGGTGTACAGATGCGGAAACACAAGAGCATATAAAGACTACACACGTCAATGCTTCTAAAAAAAACGTTCGTTTACAAAAAAAAAGAGAAAAAAAAATCAAATTTTAACAGTATATTATTATTAATATTATATAATAATTGCGTTTACAATCTCTTTCTTTCTTTTTCTATATTTCTTCCATACTCCGTTGTAAATAATCCTCGATACAATTTCTAACAATTTCCGTACTTCTTCCATAAATAAATCGAGTAACAGACTTAAACATTTTTATAATATATGTATATATATAAAAATCAATATTTTTTGTTTATACAACCAATACATTTCTTTGGCATAATTAACTACAAAATAAACGTGTTCATTACTTTTACTTCTTTAGGCTTAAGTTAACTTCAAAATTAAATACACAGTCAATAACTATACATTCATATATATATATATTTGTTTTTTTTGTATACAATTAAAATATATACCAAGTTGGGCCTCTTCAGATCATGAAGATCTCTCGATTATGCTGCAAAAGAAACTGCGTGAACGTGTTAATGTGTCCTATCGCTGCTATGCTGAGGTTCTTGTTCTCGGACCACACCAGGTTCGGTCCGAAACACACTGCCAGGTTCGAGGCTGTCATCTTATTCAGATCGGCCCTTTCCATCACCTAAAGAAACATCCATTTATCGCATATTAATTGCTGCTTAACAATAACAAACACAATTGTAATTAGTTACTAAAAAAATGATGTACTTTGTTCAATCCTATATTCAATAAAGATTTAAACATTTACACAATTATGATTCATAGATTAGTAGTATCTCAATTTGTTGCTTAACTTTTGTAAACTCAATAACAGCTTTTAATTATAGATAATATATATTATTAATACAAATACAGTCACGAAATGTATTTAACATGAAGATTATTAATTCTGCAAAACTTTCAATTAATTGACATAGATTATTAAAAATATGTTTGAGATAAGTTATAAAAAAAAATCGTGGAATATCGGAAAAACATTAATTGATATTTCTTCAAATTTGGAAATGCTGAATTTCTGCAAATGAATTCATTTCTAAAAAATAATTATTTACATTTGCATCGTCATTCCTGTTACAAATACAAAAATGATAATATTCTGAATCAAAGATGCTTATATCTTATATCTGTGCAATGATAACATTATTACTCACAGCATAATAAACAATTACATCTAAATTCAACAATTTCACGATTCAGTAATCAAATTTTGATTTTCTTTGTTTATTTACATAAAGAATTTGTTTACGTCGCACGACATACATTTCTTTCAATAACTATAAATATTTTAAGTATATATTTTGTTGAAGGCAAACGCTATTAAGTCTAAATATAGTAGCTGGTTTGTTTTGTAAATGTTTTAGGTTTTAACGTTAGAGACCCGATATTTGTAAGTTTGGGTTAAGGTTAAATCGAAGGTTATCCGCTCCGTTTACATTTAAAAACCAGCAATTTCATAAACACCATAATTAATTTTTTTATAGTAAATTTAATAATTAAATTGTTTTAATAGTTAAATAGTCGCTTGATGTGTTTTTAATCTATTTTTGATTATTATTAAAGCGTTGACGACGAGACGCATCAATTCTAGTCTTCTACATCACAATTAAAATAAAATGTCTTAATTAAATATTTTCACTTTTATTGGTCCTAGCTGAGACCAAAGAACTATCGTCCTAAATCCATTTATAATTTGTATATTCGGTTGAAAAATATTCAATTTTGAAATTTAATACACGTTTTTGTATTTTCGATAATATATGAGTAATGACTTACCTTAGAAAGGAATCCGGTGACGTATTTCAAAATCTTATAGTTATCTTCGGGTAACTTTTCCATCACCAAAATGGAAACGTGTCTCAATTGCATATCCTTGCTGATTTCTATGGAAAGACAGTGATTAGAGGAGGTGAATGAAGCGTAGCGTAACGTGCTTACGTTGGAAATTCATGACTTCCTCGTAGAAATCGAAAGTGAGCAGCGGTTCCTTGAGTTCGCGGAAGAAGAGCTTCATCAGGACGGTGGCCTCGTGCGGATCATCGAACTCCAACACTTTGCCCTGATCTGCGTCCTCCCTCAGGGCCCTAATCTTCACGGTGCTCGCGGATCGCCTGAACAACCCCTCCGTTTCCAGCACTGCAAAAAATACGCATTATATAAATGTTGTTACTACTTGATCTCTGAATGTCACTACCATCGGGATGATCCAAGTAATCAATTGTCTGCTTAATGACGGGCGGAATTACACTTTTGTAATTTTGTTTTATCGTTGCAAGTGAAACTCCAAATTGCCTGGTAGGTAAAGGTACCAGGACTGCAGTCGGATTCTCTCCAGTCCTCCTGTTAGTCTCCGTGTTCTTGGACAGTTTCTTGTCGTGCCTGTGGATGAACATGCAAAGATTAGAGGTGGCAAAAACCATGTGCAAAAGGGCGCGTCAGTTTTGACAGTAGCTTACTCTGTCACTTCTTCCGGTATAGATAGCTGCTCCAGGTTGATGTGCTCGCTGAGCTCGGCCAAGGTGTTGATGTAGCTCAACTTCTTTCCGAATTTCACGCTGATCACGGGCGTGAACATCTGTAGGATTATCTTCAAAAAGGACGTCGGGTGTACCATGTATAATGCTTTCAAGTTCTTCTTGTACTTCCTATCAAACGCCCTGTAAGCCTGCCACAGCCACCTTATGGATGGTTTATTTCTACTGTTCAGTCCATAATGGAAGTAGACCAAACTATAATCCTGCTCGACGTACTTATCCAACGTGTAAATTAAGTATCTATCAAAAAGCATATCAACATTAAATAAAAGCTCTTCCTATATTCAAAATCAATAACTTAAAAAAATATCTAATAGCATTTAATTCTAGTAGTATTGAAATCATTCTATTTATAAATAATCATCATCAATTGTTTGTATTTACTGAATTTGTATGAAATCATGAAATTGAAACATTTTTTAAATACATAAATATTTTGTTTGATAATTAATGAGTGTACACTTACTCTAAGAATTTCTGATGATCAATCTTGTTGACTTGTGGTAATTTGCAAGCATAAACCACAATGATTTTCCGACCAACACTGTCATCTCCTTTGACATCAACAATCCCACACTTATCAATCATCATGAACTTTTCAACAGCTTCACCCACCTCTGGATATGAACTCAGCATGCTCTGAAAGTTTATGTCAGTGTTGTCAGCTAGTTCTGCCTCAAAATTATCATCTATGAATTCTGAGACTGGAGATGCAATTTCGTCAGGATCCATTTCTTGCAGCAAATCAACTGTGAACGAAAAAACATTTTTATACATTGTTTGTAGATAAAGTGTGAGAAGGTAACATACTAGCTTCAGCTACTTCTGTGGGTGTCTGATGCAGCTCGGAGTCATCAAATTCAAGGTTTGGTTCATAGTCATGGTAATCAGAAAGACTAGGGTAGGGTTCTTCAGCATCTCCTGTATACACAACTAATTCAATGTTTTTTTTTTTAGTATTTTTCATTTGTTTGTCTGCTTGTGAACCTACCTTTACCACCTTGCAGAGTCATCATAGGGCTCAACTTGTTTGTATCCATGATCGCATCAAGTTTAAACCATTGCACGAGAACTGAACAAAAAAAACTAGGATTCCTAACACCTGCAGATTCGTCACTCCCTGTACACAAACTATGATGATGTACGTCTCCTACTGAATCGTAGAAACGCTGCACTTGAACAATTATCGATGTACACTGGACGGAACGCAACCAAAGATGCGACAATTTCGAAACGTTGAGAACTCGCGAACAAATGGAATGGCACTATTTTGTTTATTTTGTTGTCCAGCGAATTTTCAACATTTTCAACTACATCTGGCAAATGGCGGTGTGACAGTTGAGAAAAAAATATGCTTAAGGTATGGAATGCTGATGATAAAACTCAGATAAAAGTATCTATCCATGCATGTACTCGTCAAGAGCGTTATCTAAATATAGTTCGTACTTCTAATTAGGAGCAAACAAATCCATACATTTTAAAATCGTGCAATATTCCAAGTTGAAATTGTTCGTTTGGTTGCATACGTGAATATGGTTTTGTACTCGCAACAAAGTTGAATGGGCCGACAGATGTCGAAACGTGAATTAAATATTTATGAATTAGCCATTGAATTGCTGTTACAATGCTTTGAATAATGATCAGTCTATTCTTAAAGGAGTTGCTTGCACAATGAAACCCAATAGCTATCTACCCATACATGGCGATGTTTTCATTAAAATCTATACAAATTTATTTATGTTATTCTTTACACCATTGTTTTTCAACGTTTCCTTACAAATATCCAATAAAGACCCTCAAAATCTGATACGATACTCAACAATAAATGAATATCCATCGCAATCTCCAAATATCCAATTATCATATGCATTTTTCGAAACTATTCTATTTGTTATAGTTACTGAGAAAATCACTAAAATGTGAAGGCTCTGCTTTTACGAGCGTTAATTTGTCATAATTTCATTTTTGAATGCGAATTACAGCAAAAGGGATGAAACCGCATCAATAATTGAATATACGTTGCAATCCCCAAATATCCAACTTTCATATGCATGTTTCGAAACTATTCTATCTGTTATAGTTTCTGAGAAAATCACTAAAATATGAAAGCACTGCTTTATCGAGTGGTAATTTCATTTTTGAATACGAATTACAGCGAAAGGGATGAAACCGCATCAATAATTGAATATACGTTGCTTTCCCCAAATATCCAAATTTCATATGCTTCTTTCGAAACTACTCTATCTATTATAGTTGTTGAGAAAATCACTAAAATATGAAAGCACTGCTTTTTCGAACGTTAATATGTCGTAATTTCATTTTTGAATATGAATTACAGCCAAAGGGATGAAACTACATCAATAATTGAATATACGTTGCATTCCCCAAATATCCAACTTTCATATGCATCTTTCGAAACTATTCTATCTGTTACAGTTGCAGAGAAAATTACTAAAATATGAAAGCACTGCTTTTTCGAGCGTTAATTTGTCGTAATTTAATTTTTGAATGCGAATTACAGCCAAAGGGATGAAACCGCATCAATAATTGAATAAACGTTGGATTCCCCAAATATCCAAATTTCATATGCATCTTTCGAAACTATTATATCTGTTATAGTTGCTGAGAAAATCACTAAAATATGAAAGCACTGCTTTATTGATTGGTAATTTCATTTTTGAATACGAATTACAGCGAATGGGATGAAACTGCATCAATAATTGAATATACGTTGCATTCCCCAAATATCCAACTTTCATATGCATCTTTCGAAACTATTCTATCTGTTATAGTTGCTGAGAAAATCAGTAAAATGTGAAGGCTCTGCTTTTTCGAGCGTTAATTTGTCGTAATTTCATTTTTGAATACGAATTACAGCGAAAGGGATGAAACCGCATCAATAATTGAATATACGTTGCATTCCCCAAATATCCAAATTTCATATACATCTTTCGAAACTATTCTATCTGTTACAGTTTATGAGAAAATTACTAAAATGTGAAGACACTGCTTTTTGTGGGCACTAGGTACCAGTAAAAAAAATGATGAAAGTATCTTCTTAAAGTTAAGATTATTGTGGGCCCCTTTTAAGATTTGCAAAGAGGAATTATCCTTTAATTTGGTTAGCATGTCAAGGGATGAATGGACTATCACCATAACATCCAATGTTGATTCAGTTGTCTAGATATTTGAGAATTTCTGGACCCTCGTGGAGTTAGAGTGGAAATCCGTCACTGAATCATATTCCTTACCTTAATAGGTCCAATTTACAGTCTGCTCCGAACGGTGTCACCATATAAATAGTCGTCCTAATGTTAAAAACAAACCTGACACGATCCGTAAATACTCATTCTAAATATTCTTAAGCTAACTATAGCAAAGGTCAGATAATGTTAAGAGGAACATACCGATGGCTTGCCACAACCTCCTAAAGATCACAACAAAAAAACAAAACAGGACAGGGATTGAGAAAGAAACTACGTTGATTATATTTTTACCACTTTATTAATTAATGAGTACACAATAATATTGAACTCAATAATGTTGAATTTAAGCGTAACAATGGAAAATTCCCATATGTCCCTTATGCCATATACATATATATTCATATACATATATATACTTCATTTTTTTCCATTTTCTCTCTTAACTTTCGCTCGTAAGTCATCTCAATTTTTTATCATCTTCATTTCTCATTTCAAAGTGGCATCATTTAAACAGTCTTATTGGAAACACTTCTTAATTAACCCTGTAAGTTTAACGGTTTGTGGTCCTGCAATTGGTACCTTCAAACATACACATTACTTGTTTATTTCCCGACATTTCACATATTATCATATATTCGAGTACAGTAAGTAATCATAGTTGAAATCATGCAATTAGAGAATTACGTTAATTGTTGTTGCTTCATCTTCATCGAACGAAAAAAAAACATTATAAATATTACCAAGGGTATTTAAGTTATCGTTACATAAAAGGGAAACGAGATCACCTCAACAAGAGTGATCGTATTGTTATTAAGTATTTATATATATTATTATTTTCTTGTTTAGATTGCACGTTTTAAATCCTACGACATATAGTATATTTAGTACATATATAAACCCAAAAAGGTACAGTTTAACGATTACGCTGATGATTATATATGGCTTTTGCATCTTCAGTACAAAGAAATTCCACTATAAATATTTGTTGATTTTCTTTAAATATATATATTTAATAATTTCTAGAGACTTATTTTAATACGGATTATAAATGGTAAAGTTCATCATTCTTGTTCTTATACATGTATATATCATATTTTTTTTGGCTTAAATTGACTTTTAGATATAAACAAGTATATCTAGTTAGTCCCAAGTTGAAAGTTCACAGTTTACTATGAATTTTATGTTAGTTGTTCTATGAAAGGTGAAATAGCAGCGCTTCAACTGAAAACCAAAACAATTACTTTGAAATTATGACCATTATAAATAGTAAAGTTTACATTTTTAAATTATTTATTTTTGATTTGACGATGCTATTTTTCCAGTCTACAGACGTCCTAGATTATTATTATTATTACAAATGTTGTTACGTCCATTAATTTAAATTGCGGTACAATAAATTCTGTTTCCATACAAGTTTTCCGTTTTTTTTTTGGCGCAAAACACTAAACACTATTACAATATGCGTGTATATTTTATAAATAAGTTGAGAATAAATAATCTTGAGAAAACATCACGAATACATGAATTGCACACTTAATTTATATATAATATGACATCTACTAAAACTGTGGTAAATGTTCGCAGCAAAGAAGAAAACAAACCCAAGATTCTTGTTGATGGAAAAAAAGGAAAAGAAAACTGTTTTCCAATACTCGAAGGGGGGGAGAAGTAAAAAATAAAACTAACATTACAGTCAGGGTCAATTTTACAATGAACACTTTATAGGTATACTGAGAGAACATTAAACTAGAAGAACTTTGTTTCTTATACTTCCTTAACATTAAGCTACTACCTTCGTCCAGACACAGTCGTACATTTAAAAAAGAAACAAAGAAAGAATCCTACAAAGATTATTTCACATTAAGTTTAACATTTACGAATAAAATTTGGCTTGGGATGAATAATTATTATATAGAGATATATATATAATATATATATGTATGTATGTAGTATGTAAGTGTGTATATTATAGATTATCTTAATGAACTAGCTAGCTTGAAGATGGTTTTATCAGTCAAGTGCGTTGGTCCTTATTGCATGTCGGACGGCGATGTCCTGCGCCTGAAAAACGGCTTCAGAGGCAACCGTCAAAATACTAAAAAAACAAAATACATTTATCAAAAAAAAACAACAATACAATTCTCTAATAAAATAACGAATTTCACGTTACACTACAGATCTAAAAAGGTTGCTAACAACTAAACAAATGAAGATAATAACTTAACATTAGAATATATTATTTGTTCTTGCGCATTTTCTCATGTGCGTTAAAAATGTATGGTTTTCCTTTATTTGCAAATGTTCGACGATTTTTGCTACATATATATAAAATTATGGTCTTCTGTCTAAAGTTGAAGAATGGTGACAATGAAATCTTTACATTACATTTACATCATTGGGATATTGTATTATCATAATCAATTCTCGCTTTAGTCTATAACAGCGTTTCTCAACCAATCTAATATTGAGAAATACTCTTAGCAATTGGTATCATTTAAAACTACAAACAAATATTTTGCGTTATGCAGCAAAAAGGTTGATGTCGCTGGTCTATAATGAAAACATCGGTAATCCAGACAATAAAATCGATAAATACACCACCAAATTATTAAAACTATCTTAATATAGTAGCAGTTTGAATAATTTGGTACGTTTTATGAATTTAAATCTTATATTGAGATTATAATATGTAATTAGGAAGTTTCAAATTCCTAAAAAATATTAGTAAACAATAATAATAGTATTCAATGTAATTTAAAGTTAACAAAAGTAATTACGCATTTCGGCTAAAGTAATAGATTGACGTCTTTATAATTCATGACGAAAATTAGTACAAACAATATAGGAAATTAGTTAATGAACATCAAGATTCGGTTAAATAAACGATTGGAAATATTTGTGAACTTTGCTGATAATCCGAATCACGCGAAAGTAAAATTAGTTGTCTAATGTTGTTTTCAAGTTGCGCAGTACAAATTGACATTATTAAAGAAAATAATGGAACAATTGATTATTCCATGATTAGCGCAACGTGATTGAAGAAAGATTTGTGCAAAGATGTAAATCTTGGTAATAACACGTATAATTGTGAAAACCTCGTGTAGATATTGTAGAGAGAGAATCGCATTAGTCGTTTGAATTGCTCAATGCATAAACTAATCGTGATTGTGGCGTAGCATTAGTACGATAAATAGATCGATATCAATTAAAGTGCATTACTGCGCTCGTTAATTAGCAACAACCAACCACGTCCATTGTGCGTCCGCCGGGTGATCCTCCACGAAGATAGCAAACGTCCGATGCTAATTAACTAATAAATTCGGTTGGCGATATTCGTTAATTGAACTAATAACAGTGTACGTTCGTGACCATTCGTAGAGTCATACAAATATGTTTATCGAATCGCCAAGATCTTATAGTCAAAAAATAAATATAAACACGAGAATAATTAGTAATGGGAATGTTTGGATCAATTACCGAAGGTGTGATAACAGTGTTTTTTCCATAATTAAATAATTCGTGGAACGATTAACACTGAAGTGTCTTTCAAAACCAATCTTAATTTATTTATGCATAATTCTTTTGGTTTTATATTTTGAATTGTTAGTAAATTTCCATCGTAATTAATAATTACAAAATCTTGATTTGGCTTGAAATCGTTATTTTCAAATACTTTGATGATCATGTGATGATTTTAAATTTGTAATGCTTAATGCGAAATAGTATTGTTGTTAGCAATTTTTCTATATAAAACCAGATTGTTTTAAACATTTGTTTATTGATGGATCTTTCATGTATGTAATTGTAATAAAAGAAATGTGAATAATTAAAACAGCAATTAAAAAAGGACTTTCTAAGTATATATTTAAATAAAGATATTTACGTTAAAACAAGTAGAATAAAATGATGCGAGTTCTCCTGGAACCCGTCGTTCCTTGAATATATTTATATATATATTTGCATGTGTATCTTGTGTATTTATATATATAGGTTTGTTCGAGTGTGTCGTGAAAGAATTCTAGTAGGTATCAAATCTAGATTTGAATAATTGGAGCAAAAAGTATACCTGAGTGTCCAACTGTAAGAACTTCGATAGGGAGCGACCCTCTGCGCCGAGCCAGCAGCGTCTCAGGGATGTCGTTCCTATGAATAAGAAGTCTGGTACACGATTCGGACAACGTGTGATCTGCAGATACGCAAATAGTTTCGGACCCGCCGGAGCTTCTTCTGCGCAATTGTTTCTTTCGCCTTTTCCCGTTCAGACTGGTGTGTCGCGTGAGCAGATCCCGCCGCTCGCTCGAACCCAATGGAGGTAGATCCGTCGGAGCAGATCCTCTTCTCTGGTACTGCCATAGGTTGTAAGGTTGGTCTACAGGCTGCACATTCGACTTCTCCTGATGGCCATCATCGTATTCTAGAGAAAAGAAGCATCGAGCGACGTTAAATAGGTTTCTTGTGGGACGAAAAGAGAAAATAAATATGTAGTGAAATCACTCACTGTATTTAATAACATCCGCCGGCATAGAGCCCCGACGCAATGCATTAATGTCAGGAGGGCGCATCACTCCGCCAGCGGATATAATGCTTTCCTCGCCTCGTATGAAAGGTAATGTAACCGGAGCCGAGCCTCGTCGCTTTGATAGAATCTAATAAGGTGAAACAAAGAAAACAAAAATAGATGAGAGTTAATGAATTTAGGTTCTAATGCATCGTATATTTACTATGGAGGACATTCTTCTTGGGTCGACGTTCTCCTTCTGCCCGGAATCTGTGAGCTTTGCCATCTTGCAGCACTTCTCCTTGTTCTCCTCCTGCTCCCTCTTGTTGCTAGAGGACATCGCCGGTTTCGTAGCAAGCGCTTCCAACAGCTCTGATTGTCTTCCGTTGTTCGGACTTAGCACTGCTATAGACGGAATTGTGTACTGCGGGATCTTTGATATGTTTTCGTGTGAGCTGTGAGAGGACGATGATCGACTCTCGTCTGCAAATAAACAATGCATGGTGGTATTAAAAAAAAATAGTTCTTTCAGTTGATTCGACGCAAATTACCTTCATGGACGGTTTCGGCGCATGTGGACATTTCAACCGTTGCGGACATGTATCTCATCCTGATGTATGGTTGCGGTGGTGGGAAAGTCTGCTGTCTGGTGAGAGCCTTCACCGGCTGATGGCCTTGGAGCACCGAGCTCAATCGACTCGCTGCCGCGCAGCTCGTCATCGAAGCGATACTCGGTTCCGGCAATAAATTCTCAGCGCTCAGCGGTCTCTCCATGTTATCCTCAGCTATAAAACAATCGACGTTACAATTTGCAATCTACGAACGCGGACAGTTAATTACCCGAAAAATGCTGTTTTCCACTTCCAGACGATAAAATCGATGATCTGGATTCGAAACGCATCAGCTCATCTTCCTCGCACAGTCCGCTCGAAATGCGCGACTCTGATCTTGCAGGGCTGTGGCGTCGTATCGGAAGGCTTTCGCGTCTATAAATCGTTCTTGGCAGTGATAGCGGTTCCATATTCACAGGTACTGAATGTCTCCTCAAACCGATGGCACTTTCCACCGTTGGCACAGCTAATGATTGTCTTCTCGAACTCCTAAAATCGCTGCAATTCAACGTACCATGAATACAAACATTGTCATCACTCGCATAATTTTTCCTTACCTGGTGGGCTTAACGAATTCAGCGACGCTCAGCGTTTCCGGCGAAGTGGTCTTCGACATTTCCTCCTCGCTAAAGTCAATCTCCGGCTCAGCATCCGACAATTCCGTATGCGTTTCTTCGGCTTGCTCGGCCGCTTCTTTTGCTTCCCAGCGCTTCCTGTTCGACTCCAGCAGATCCATCATGTTCGTCGAAAGATTACTATCCAAGAATCTGTGCCATTCCATAAACAGCGGAGTAACAACAAATTTAAAGAAACCTGAAAGGATTTAACATTAACTCACTCAATGTTACATTAAAAAAACAACAAATCACCAGTCTGAATTTTAGCGATGGATGTGGATTGTTGATCACAAATGGAAGTAACTGGAAGATTGAGTTTTCGTTCGAATTCCCCTTGCCTGAAGAATTCGTCGCAGACTTTGAGACTCCACTTGTGCGAGATGTCCCAGGGTCGAGTGGGATTCGAAATGTCGGCGCATTTTAGCGAGATTTGCAGGATGAAGTGACGATGGTCCGTTTTGCTTAAATCCAGAGTTCCCTCATCTAAATGTTTCTACTCGAAAAAGAAAAAACAAATTAATAAAAGCCAAAATAAATAAATCACAAACGAGTTATGCATACTTTAAATTTCGTCAAAAATTCTTGCTGTCTATTGATGTCCGTGGCTAAGATGAGATCACGAATTAGCAATTCTAATTCATTTCGATAAGGTAACAATTGTTCGGCGACGCCACTTTCTAGCAAACATCCGACTGTGGATCTCCAGTGATGGTTCTCTAAGACCGAGCTATTCTGCAAAATTCATAAATAAATGAGATGAGTAATTGAATAAAATGCAAATTAATCAAGAATGCGTACCTCGTACAAGGTGGCAAGATGATTGGATGTGGATATGAGAAAGTGCTGATTAACGCCCGGATGATCCAGATCGTGCGCGACGGCTCCGATCAACGAAGCCATGATTTCGATGGGCGACAAGAATCTTCTGATCTTCTCCTCCTGCAAGAAGCAGTGCATCGCCTGCGTCACGTCCGTCGCGTGGATCGAATTGTGATAGGGATTCGTGTTGTGGTAACCTTCCTCAATGAGTGCTGAGAATACAAAAAGAATAAGATTGTTTCGCCGATTGAAATTAACCCGGAATTGCTTACTAAATAGTTTCCAAACTCTGACTACGTCCAGCTTGAAATGATCCAGCAATCCGTACCAGTAGAACAAGTGAACGCAGAGGACCGGAAGGGAACGTCCTCCTGCAACTGTTTCCAAAGTGAACGCGTTGAATCCCCATAAACCGCAGTTATCCAATATCCTCTGCAAAAAAAAATTAAATAAAGATATTAAATATCGTTCAAATATTGATATTAAACGATTGAGGATACCTGAACTTGGCCATGGTGGATGTCGTCGAGGATGCCGTGATCCTGGATGAGGGCTCGAGTTTGCAACTTTTTACGGCGCCTTTTATGCATCGTTAGAAAGCGGCCGGAGCAGCCGGGGATTGGTGTGCACCCCATCGCATCTAATAAAACCCAATCCTCCGGCGAAAAGCACGACACATTCGATGGAATCTCAACAGGTGCTGGAACGGAAGAATACAGATATTCAGTAAACGCATTTCCTTCCTAAAAATAAACTAGTTTGACCCATATTACAGGCGCAGCAGCCCAACACCTCTCTTTCATTCTTTTTCTCTCTCTCTCCCTCCATTCCAATATCGATCAACGATTAATGAATTACTTTAATGAGCGCTGATATTCTTCATGTCTCTGTTCGTTCAATGAGTGCAAGTACTTACGGATTTTCGCCAATCGTGAATTTAATTAGAAACGCAAACGCGAGATACAGCGACGAACATTCTGCACTAAACTCTACTATCAACAATTTAATAACTTCTTTCCTTTCCTTCCGTTAGGATTCTTCGAGCCACGTACTTCTATCGGACATTGTTCTTGAAATAGACCAGTGCAAGCGGCATGCTAGCACTCCGCACACTAAGTTATGTTTGGAAATGCAGGTTATTAACTTTTACCATTCCACTTCAGCAACGCAACGAAACTCTCATTATTAAATGCCTGCGAAGAATATATGTATATAAATATAAATCCTACACTCGCTTCACTCACTTCATTCTCTTTCTTTTTGCTCATCCGGCGCGAACGAAGATCTCTGCACAACAACAAATACCGTTCGCAATTAAAGCGTAACACCGAAATAATAATAAAAAAAAATAGCGTTCACACAAAAACGAATACAATTAGTAAACCAGACGCGGAATAATCGATACTTTTATACCAAATACAAAACATGCCGCTTTTGGGATGTGTATAAAATTTCGTACCAAATGTAGGTTGTTGACCTGAAGAAAGTACGAGCGGCAATTATAAAATTTCAATACTACAGAATACTTTCCTTCTCTCCACCAAAAGGAAACTCCAACTGTGCTCACACGCGCAAATTATTTACAAGAACTTGCATATCAACATCCATTATACAAATTATCTTTGGAAATGTTTATGCCCGAAACATTGAATTCGCAATACAATTAAATGGTCATTACATTTAGCTCTGTTTTGTATATATTTTTCCGCTGTTTACATAAAATAAGCACATACATTTCGCCCTTCTTCGACTTGTTTTGTAAACACACATTTTCCATCGAATCCATGTATTATTTATAAGAGGAAAATGAAAATATCAGCGAAAGTTTAATGTATTCATTAATTCTAGCAAACATGCTAAGTACATCGTAATAAAACATTCTGTTTTCACAACGCGAACATCCAAACAACAAAAATTATAACGAGAAGTCGAAAGAATTCTTGCGAATATTAGACTAAATAAAACATATTCAGAGCATAATAAATATACGTTTTGATCGAAAGTAAAAAGAGTTTAAATAAACCTTCGGATCTTGTACGCTTTTGAAAATATTTTTGTTGGCGAATGGAGGATAAGTTTCAACTGGTATGGAAACTGGAGCAGGTCTAGAGCATCGAAGATAAATGATAGTGAAGCAGGTTGGAGGAAAAAAAGAATCGAGCAACATCGTATAATAAATTGTTTCCCAAGAAAACGATCACTCCGTCTTGGAAACCAAAGGAAGAACGGCAATTACAGAATTCCGTTCGTCTGCTAGTAATAAATAGCCGCAACAACGTAGTTCTACAAAAGCATTTACTTGATGCACAAATGTTATATAAAAGATATTTTGTATATAAAGATATATTAATTTAAAAAAATTCTTGGAAACATATTTAAATTACTTACGATTATTTTTAATTTAACTGACACAAGCTTAAACTTAGTTACTAACTTAACAAACGAAAAGTAACTGAACTTTATATATATTCCAATGTTTACTATCAACAACTACAATGGATTTGTATCATGACAGATACGACTATATCTTTTTGAGGTTAAGTTTGATGGAAGACGATTTCTAATTTATAACGAGTCTTGCCAACTATGTTAAATGAAAATAAACAATAAACGTTCGAATTAATCTTTAAATTAACAATATTATATTAAAAATCTTTAAAATTATCTTTGATTACGTGATATTCTTATGTAACATTTTAAACAAGGACGAATTGGATATATAATCATTGCTGCCAATATAAATATTTTTTATTAAGAATTAATAGATTTATATAAATAAATAGAAGCGGATTTTTATTTTGTTGGTAAAATATTGAAAAAAAAGTCATTTTCTGTATAATTTGAGTTACGTTTTGCTCTAATCAATGTAATTTCCAATTTGGAATTAAATATTACGTAATTAAGATATAAAAACTAAATGAATTAAGAATTTCTTGAACTAAAAACTAATTTTATTGATGTCGATGTTTAATTTTTATAAATATAATAGAATAATTTTACGTTCGAAGGTTGTCTGTGAAGGACGTCATAAAAATAATGAACATTTTAAAATTAACTATGAAACTAGCATGTTTAATAATAAATAAATGGTATTGTCAATTTGACAACTAACCGAGGCACGTATACCAACTCAAATTATTATATAACTATATAGTCAGTTGTGAGAGACTGGTGAAATTGTGTCAATAAACACTTACCAAATCAAAAGAGCGCTGGAAGAATTATAGTCACATCCATCGACATTTTTTTTTTAATTTCCCTATTTTTTCTAAGTTAATCTCAGGTTTACATATTTAATAAAATTAATAATTTTCCTATTTATATTAATATTTTTTATGAGCATAAATCATATATAACGACTGTAAATTGTTTGTTTATGAAAATGCACAAGCGGCAAATCTTTTCAAAGTAATAAAAGAAACTGGAGTAAGCAGAAAATTGTAAAACAACTACTTTTCTTCGATTCTGCTGTGAAATCGTAGTTTCTATGCTTACATTCTTATGCTCAACGCTTGAAATTTATAGCAATATTATCTATTATTATCAATAATGAATAGTACAGATAACAGATTGTTAAAACTATATAATAAAGTAAATAATATTTTCAAAAATTGTTAAATCAGAAGAAGTGATTACACACAAATATGTTTCTATGGAAATTATTGGGTCTTGATAACATTGATAATTTAGGAAAAACGTGACATGAATGTGTTATCAAAAAAATGCATTTATAGAAAAAACGATAAAGATCCTTGTTATTCTGTTACAGTTAAATACGTCCAAATGTTCATTTCTCATCCACGAACTTCTCGATCCAGTTGCCTAAGGCATTATTTGTACAATGATTGCCATACTAATCTTCACTGCATGCATTCTGTTTCTCTCGAATTTGCTGGTAAAATGGCAAAGACATACCAAGAAGTACGACATGCCATCAATCCCAGGACCGAAGCCTCTTCCGATCATTGGAAACATACTCGAATTCGGATTCGACATTACTAGTAAGATAATTTACAAATTTATAATGGAAATATGTTTTATTGTAAAAACGTCAAAATAATCAGTTCAAAACAAAGATAAATAATAAGAGAAATATAAAATTTTTACTTTGAACAAATTTCAGATGTGATGACAAATTTAAGCAGAATATGCTCGAACTATAACGGAATTTGCAGGTTGTTCTTAGGCCCGAAGACGGTTGTAGTCATGGTTTCGCATCCAAAATATTTAAAGAAAATCTTCAAAAATTCTTCGGAGCATATAGAAAAAACGAATTTTTACGATTTCTTCAAGGACATTCTTGGAAAAGGAATTTCAATTGTTACAGGTATACTTTAATGATGATGACATTACGTGTAAAAATGATATCTTTTTTTTACATTCTAGGGCCGATTTGGCATAATAATAGGAAAGCGCTGCAGCCGGCATTTCAATACGCAATGCTCGAAGATTTCAATAAAATTTTCAATAAAACGGGCGACAAATTGCTGAAAAAGTTTGAGAAAATTCTGGGACGTCAAGTGGATGTTAGCCCATACATAAATAGCAGTACGATGGAAACTACATATGGTAAGTTAATTGAATTATGTTCATGAGTTCCTAATGATTTGATAATACGTAGAAAGTATACTGGGATTGAATTTCGAAGAAAATCCGGAGGAAAATTTGAAGTATTCTAACACTATTTACCAGTACATAGACACTTGTTTAGAGCGCATTTTTTCGCCGATCAAGAGAAGCGATTTCCTGTACCAACTAATGCCTGAACACAAAAAACAGCAGGAACGTCTGCAAGAGATATTGAATTTTACATCTGCCATCGTCGATAAGAAGAGGGAAGAAATGAAGCGACGAAGCGGTGATAATATCTCCGAAAATTCGGATTTCGGTATTAAAAAGAAGTCCACGTTGCTGGACATCATATTGGAGCGATTTAAAACTGATGAAGATTTGCCTTACGAATACATCAACGAGGAGCTCAGCACGTTTCTGACTGCGGTGAGTTTCAATTACTGGGTTCGATTAACTTAGTGCGGAGATGATTTAGGGTCATCACACGGTGACGTCTGTCCTATCGAGTATCCTTTACGAGCTCTCCAAGCACGAGGATGTTCAAGAGAAGTTATTCGAAGAGATCTCAAGTATTATTGAAGATGCTAAATGCATCAGCACTAAAGATATAAATGCAATGGAATATATGGAATGCGTGGTTAAAGAAGGTCTTCGTTTATACAGCCCAGCGACTTATATAGAACGCAAGTTGGATTATGATGTCGAAGTAGGTGAGTTTATGCCCACTAGTTTATATCAATAGTTTTAAATATTTCTTTTATACTTTCAGATGGTTCTATCATACCAAAAGGCACGAGCATAAACATATTCATCTTCCAGTTACATCGCTCCGAACAGGTGTACAAAAACGCTATGAAATTTGATCCGGATCGATTTTCGGCTGCCAACATCGATGGACGAGACCCTATGGCTTTCATTCCTTTCAGTTTTGGGATCAGGAATTGCATTGGATGGAAATTCGCTATGATTCAGATAAAGTGTCTCCTCGCTAAAATCATCTACAATTACAGAATGCAACCTTTATCACAACACTTCAAACTTCAGTTGTACAGTGACGGCATTCTCAAATCCAAGAACGGATTTCCTGTCAACCTCTCAAGAAGATGATCTACCTCTTCAAACTATATCTAAGAACTCACTAATAATATTTGTGAATGCGACAAATAGTTATTTGTGTTTCCTTTGTAGTCAAAAAACAAGAAATAAAGTCGAAACAAGTAACATTTTTCAGATTTCATTAACATTTAATCAACTTGAACTTCTCTTGAACTGCTATTGATTATCTTAGTGCGATGTTGTAATTAAAACGTGCAGTTAAAATATAAGGAAATGAATATCGTGTTGATTTGATGCATTTATAAAAACACGATAAAGATCGAATAAATATTTAGTATACAGTTGTAGTCGTGTCATTCCAAACGTTAATTTCTTATCCACGAAATTCTCCATCCAGTTGTCTTTCGCATTCCTTGTACGATGATTGCCTTACTAATCCTCACCGCGTGCATTCTGTTTCTCTCGCATTTGCTGGTAAAATGGCAAAGACATACCAAGAAGTACGATATGCCAACAATCCCAGGGCCGAAGCCTCTTCCCATACTCGGAAACATACTCGAATTCGGATTCGACATTACTAGTAAGATAGTTCATACATTTTTAATGGCAATAAGTTTTATTATAAAAAAAACATCAATTTAATCAATTCAAAGCAAATAAAAATAATAACAGAAATATATAAATTTTGCTTTGAACAAATTTCAGATATGATGACAAATTTCAGTAGAATATGCTCGAACTACAACGGAATTTGTAGGTTGTTCTTAGGCCCCAAGACGGTTCTTGTCGTGGTTTGGCATCCGAAATATTTAAAGAAAATCTTCAAGCATTAATTCTTCGGAGCATATAGAAAAAACGAATTTTTACGATTTCTTCAAAGGTATTACTGGAAAAGGAATTGTAAGTGTTGAAGGTAGGATTTAATGATGATGAGTATTACAGTGAAAATGATATATACATTTTTTAAACTTTCTAGGGCCAATTTGGCATAATAATAGGAAAGCGCTGCAGCCGGCATTTCAATATGCAATGCTCGAAGATTTCAATAAAATTTTCAATAAAGCAGGTGACAAATTGCTGAAAAAGTTTGAGAAAATTCAGGAACGTCAAGTGGATGTTAGCCCTTACATCAATAGCAGTACGATGGAAACTACATATGGTAAGTTAATTGAATAATGTTCTTGAGTTGCTAATGATTTGATAATATGTAGAAAGTATACTGGGATTGAATTTCGAAGAAAATCAGAACGAAAATTTGAAGTATTCGAATACCATTTACCAGTACTAGACCTTGCTTATTGCGCATTTTTTCGCCATCAAGAGAAGCGATTTTTTGTACCAACTATTGCCTGAACAAAAAGACAGCAAGAGCGTCTGCAAGAAATATTGAATTTTACATCTGCCATCGTCGATAAGAAGAGGGAAGAAATGAAGCGACGAAGCGGTGATAATATCTCCGAAATTCGGATTTCGGTATTAGAAAGAAGTCCACGTTGTTGGACATTATATTGGAGCGATTTAAAACTGATGAAGATTTGCCTTACGAGTACATCAAGAGGAGCTCAGCACGTTTCTGCTTGCGGTGAGTTTAAATTATTGAGTTCGATTAACTTAGTGCGGAGATGATTTAGGGTCATCACACGGTGACGTCTGTCCTATCGAGTATCACGAGCTCTCCAAGCACGAGGATGTTCAAAAGAAGTTATTCGAAGAGATCTCAAGTATTATTGAAGATGTTCAATGCATCAGTACTAAAGATATAAATGCAATGGAATATATGGAATGCGTGGTTAAAGAAGGTCTTCGTTTATACAGTCCAGTAATTGATATAGAACGCAAGTTGGATTATGACGTCGAAGTTGGTTAGTTTAAGTCCACTAGTTCATATCAATAGCGTTAAATATTTCTTTGATACTTTTAGATGGTTCCATCATACCAAAAGGCACGAACATAAACATATTCATATTCCAGCTGCATCGCTCCGAACAGGTGTACAAAAACGCATTGAAATTTGACCCGGATCGATTTTCCGCTGCCAACATGGATGGACGAGACCCTATGGCTTTCATTCCTTTCGGTTTTGGGATCAGGAATTGCATGGGATGGAAATTCGCCATGATTCAGATGAAGTGTCTCCTGGCCAAAATTATCTACAATTACAGAATGCAACCTTTGTCGCAACACTTCGAACTTCAATTGTATAGCGATATTTTTCTGAAATCCAAGAACGGCTTTCCCGTTAACCTCTCAAGAAGATGATTTGTCTCTTCAAACCATATCTAAAAACTCACTAATAATAATTGTGAATACGGCCAATAGTTATTTGTATATGCGTTTCTTTTGTAGTCAATAAGTGTTACAAGATACAATTTTTCAGTTTTGCTTTATATGAAATCAAGTTAAGTTTTTTGATATATACATATATTAAATAATGTATATATTTTAAATTATTTGTTTATGAAAATGTACACGTGGCAAAACTTATATAAGTAATGTAAGAAAAATGGAATAAGTAAAAAATTGTAGAACAACAACTACTTTTCTACGGTTCTGCTGTGAACTCCTAGTTTCAATGCTCACATTTTAATACTCAACGCTTGACATCTCTGCAACTACAATATATATATATTATTAGTAATAATAATTAGCAATAGATTGTTAAAAATATATAATAATTATTCCAAGAATTCTTACATCTGAAGTAGAACATTAGATCTAATTACAAAAATATGTTTTATTCGAAAAATGAAACAACAACAGGCAAATATTAGTTCTTGAAAACATTCATAATTATTGATAAAAATGACGAATCTAACTTTTACAGACTGTTATTGATTTGATTAATTTATAAAAACTCGTTAAAGATCATGTAAACATTTATTAATCTGTTACAGTCGCATAAGTCCAAACGTTCTTTTCTCATCAACGAAATTCTCGATGCAGTTCTCTAAAGCATTCCTTGTATGATGATTGCCTTGCTAATCTTCACCGCGTGCATTCTGTTTCTCTCGAATTTGCTGGTAAAATGGCAAAGACATACCAAGAAGTACAATATGCCAACAATCCCAGGGCCGAAGCCCCTTCCCATAATCGGAAACATACTCGAATTCGGATTCGACATTACTAGTAATACAATTTATAAAATTTTAAAGACAAAAAGTTTTATAATAAAAAATATCAATTTAATAAATTCAAATCAAATAAAAATAATAGAAATATATAAATTTTGCTTTGAACAAATTTCAGATATGATGACAAATTTCAGCAGAATATGCTCGAACTACAACGGAATTTGCAGGTTGTTCTTAGGTCCGAAGACGGTTGTAGTCGTGGTTTCGCATCCGAAATATTTAAAGAAAATCTTCAAGAATTCTTCGGAGCATATAGAAAAAACGAATTTTTACGATTTCTTCAAAGGTATTACTGGAAAAGGAATTGTAAGTGTTGAAGGTAGGATTTAATGATGATGGTATTACACGTGAAAATGAAATATACATTTTTTAAACTTTCTAGGGCCAATTTGGCATAATAATAGAAAAGCGCTGCAGCCGGCATTTCAATATGCAATGCTCGAAGATTTCAATAAAATTTTCAATAAAACGGGACAAATTGCTGAAAAAGTTTGAGAAAATTCGGAACGTCAAGTGGATGTTAGCCCTTACATAATAGCAGTACGATGGAAACTACATATGGTAAGTTAATTGAATATGTTCTTGAGTTGCTAATGATTTGATAATAGTAGAAAGTATACTGGGATTGAATTTCGAAGAAAATCAGGAAAATTTGAAGTATTCGAACACTATTTACCAGTACATAGACACTTGCTTAGCGCATTTTTTCGCCATCAAGAGAAGCGATTTTTTGTACCAACTAAGCCTGAACAAAAAGACAGCAAAAGCGTCTGCAAGAAATTTTGAATTTTACATCTGCTATCGTCGATAAGAAGAGGGAAGAAATGAAGCAACAAAGCGGTGATGATACCTCCGAAGATTCGGATTTCGGTATTAGAAAGAAGTCCACGTTGTTGGACATTATATTGGAGCGATTTAAAACTGATGAAGATTTGCCTTACGAGTACATCAAGAGGAGCTCAGCACGTTTCTGCTTGCGGTGAGTTTAAATTATTGAGTTCGATTACTTAGTGCGAGATGATTTAGGGTCATCACACGGTGACGTCTGTCCTATCGAGTATCCTTTACGAGCTCTCCAAGCACGAGGATGTTCAAGAGAAGTTATTCGAAGAGATCTCAAGTATTATTGAAGATGCTAAATGCATCAGTACTAAAGATATAAATGCAATGGAATATATGGAATGCGTGGTTAAAGAAGGTCTTCGTTTATACAGCCAGAATTGATATAGAACGCAAGTTGGATTATGACGTCGAAGTTGGTGAGTTTAAGTCACTAGTTTATATCATAGCGTTAAATATTTCTTGATACTTTCAGATGGTTCCATCATACCAAAGGCACGAACATAAACATATTCATCTTCCAATTGCATA